AAATTCTAGGAAAGGTAACCATATCCTTCATTATCCAGTCTGTGTATAATGCCAAAGTTCAGGGTTTATCTCAAGTCCTTATTCAAGTAGTCTCTGAGACTGGATCATCTCAGCTAGTCATCTCAAAATTACTCTGAGCACCTTGTAGTTCAAAGCTGATCAGTTGTCTCATTTGTCCAGTGTTCTTCAGATTCCTTAACCTTCATTCTCCTAAAAGACAAAAACAAAAACCTTTCCCCAAGACTAATTTTTGGGGATGTACATTTTATTTTATTTATTTAGACTGTATATGAGATTTATTACTGAACATGATTTGGTAGGGGACAGGAGAGTACTGTGAAAGCCCTCAGGAATGCATGGCCCGCCACTTGTCCAGGGGACCGAGATTGGGGATGTATTTGACCCCACAGCCATCAGGAATGCGCCGCTTCTCAGTGGCCATGTCTTCAAGTTCCTCTGCATTAAGCTTGGTGAAGTGCCACTTCTTTGAGATGTGGATCATCTGGCGGCTGGGACTCTGAACTGGGCTCTCTGCCGAGCCTCGATCACGTCCTTATCCTGTATCTCATGCAACAGGCTGCCCACACTTCCGAGGAGGCTGCTGTTTGCAGCCGCTGAGTACCAGGCCCCCATGGGGAAAGTGTATACACATTTTAATTATCAAGATTATTGCTTATGCTTCCTGCTATTTTTCTTTTCAAGACTTGGACTACTTAGAGAACAAGGTCAAGGTTTGTTTATGCACCTGTGTGTGTTAAAGTTTTTAAATGGCCACTTTAGGGCTGGGGAGATGGCTTTGTCAAGAGTACCTACTGCCCCTGCTCTCCATTTCACCAAAACCTCAATAAAATACAATAAAAACAGGGCTGGCAAGATTGCTCAGTGGGTAACTGTGATTGCCAGCAAGCCTGACAGTTTGAGACAGACACCGGGGACCCACACGGTAGAAGGAGAAAACCAGTTCCTATAAGATGTCCTCTGACCTCCACATGCATTCTGCAGCATATGCGCACACACTGTGGGTGTGTGGTGTGTGTGTGTTACAAATCAACAAATACAATTTACAAAGAAATAAACCTACATCCTCAGGAATGCAAAGATGGACTTGGGGAGCCACTGGACCTCTTTGATCTTCCAGTAGCCCCACTGAACGAATCTCCTGTTTTTCTGCTTTTCAATATGACTTGCCGGTTTAATTGGCCTACTGAGCAGGTGCCCAGGTCCAGATCGGTAAGGTTACCAGAGGTCAGGCTCTGACCCTCAAAACTCTGGTAACATCACAGCTTTCGTCAGCAAGTGTCTGTCTCCACGCTGGCACACTCAGCATCCTGGGGTCTCAACTGCAGCACAGGCTTAACCTTCACAATTTCACCTGTTGGCCTCTCAGAGTCTCCTGGCTGGGACTCTAACCCTGACACATATTGCTTGTCCTTAGTGGCTCTCTAGAACCTGGGCGCAAGTCTCTACAATCCCTTTACCTAGGCAGGTTCCATGCCTGCCAAATAGTACCATGTGGATGACACTACTAAGTTCTGCTGCAGGTTCAAGGTGCAGCCTGGCCTCATGGAACCACTGTGTATCAGCTTCTGAGTGTCACTCTGGGGAGACATTTCCCTAATGGGCCTCTTTTGGACCGGGAACCTCTTCAGCTGCATTCTTAGTTTAGGCTTTTACTACTCAAATGAATTTTCACAAGGTGGAGCCTTCAGTGGGTGGCACCTTTTCTATTGTGCTCCATGGTACAAGGGTTCTCCCCCTCTCCCCCTACTTCCTCCCTCCCGCCCCCTCTTCCCCACCACACTGGATAAGGGCTGTAAGCAGTAACCCTGACACAGTCTGAATGTTACCTTGCTTGGAAATTTCCTCTGTCAAACAGATTAGTCCATTACTTTTGATTCAGCCTCACTCACATTCTCAAATCATGGGTAGATTACAGCCAGATTCTTTTCCACAATGCAGCATAAATAGACTCCAGCCAGTTTCTGATAAAGTCCATGTTCATCTCTGAAACCTACCAGGGGGACCTCCATTGTCTGGATTTCTTTTGGCATTCTGGTCTTCTAAACTCCCTCCAGGATGGCACATTAAAGTCTATTTTCAATATTCTAGAGTTTTTCTAGTTTAAAGTTTCAAATGCTTCCAGGTTCTAATGGCAAAACTTGCTTCAAAGGCTAAGAACCGCCAGACGGTCAACAGCAGTGATCCACTGCCCCTGCCCCCACCAGACAGAGTTTCTCTGTGTAACAGCCCTAGCTGTCCTGGAACTTGTTTTGTAGACCACAGAGATCCGCCTGCCTCTGCCTGCTGAGTGCTGGAATTAAAGGCGTGCACCACCATGCCCATCTTTTTTTGTTTTTGTTTTTTGTTTTTTTTTCAGTTGTTGTTTTTTTATTTTGTTTTGTTTTATTTGTTTTTCTTGGTGTGGCCCACTTCTTGATATGAATTTTCTCATTGCTTTGATCAAATACTTTTCAAAATTAGCTTAAGGAAGGGACAGTTTATTTTGGCTCGTCCGAGACGGGTGCAGTCCATCCTGGAGGGGAAGATGGGAGAGCTGAATGCTGTTGCTCCACTTGCTTTTACCTTTTTATTCCAGTACCCGAGACCACGGCATGATGTCACCCACGGTTAGGGCTAGCCTTCCTACCTTAGTTAACCCCATCTAGAGACCTATTTAGGAGCATACTTAAAGGTTTGTTTCATGGGTGATTTCACATCCTGTCAAGCTGACGTTATTAAATACCACAAATATAAGCAAGTAGGCACACACATAAATAAAAATAAATTTTAAAGCCAGGCGGTGGTGGCACATGCCTGTAATCCCAGCACTCGGTAGGCAGAGGCAGGTAGATCTTTCTGAGTTTGAGGCCAGCCTGATCTACAGAGTGAGTTCCAGGACAGCCAGGGCTGCACAGAGAAACCCTGTCTTGGAGGGGAAAAAAGTTAAAAATGCAAAAGTTGTTCTCTGACCTTACATGCATGTTATGGTGTGCAAGTGCCCACATGCATGTGTGTGGGTGTGTATGCACCCCCACACCTTCCCCACACTAATAATAATGACATGGCTCAACGGTTAAGAGCACTGGCTGCTCTTCCAGAGGACCCAGGTTCAATTCCCAGCACCCACATGGCAGCTCACAACTGCCTGTAACTCCAGTTCCAGGGGACCCGACAACCTCACACAGACATACATGCAGGCAAAACACGAATGCATGTTAAATAAAAACTAACAAATCATTAAAAAAAACCCAAATTAGTATTTCCTACCATTCAGTTCTCTGTTCCCTTCCCTTCCTCTTTCTTGTTTTTTGTTTTTGTTTTTGTTTTTGTTTTTTGAGACAGGGTTTCTCTGTGTAGTTTTGGTGCCTGCCCTGGATCTTGCTCTGTAGACCAGGCTGACCTCGAACTCACAGAGATCTGCCTGGCTCTGCCTCCCGAGTGCTGGGATTAAAGGTGTACGCCACCACCTGGCTGGTTACTGTAGTTTTATAGTAAATTTTGACATCGTGAAGTAGAAGCTGGGGGTGGTAGTGCGTGCCTATATAAACTCAGCAGTTAGGAGGCTGAGGCAGGAGGATTACTGTAAGATAAAGTTCGGCCTGGGCTATAGCAAGATCTTTCTCAAAAGAAAAAAGAAACTAGAAAGTATGAGTCATCTGCTTTTGTTCTTTCCTGAAATAATATTTTTGACATTGATTTATTGATTCATTTTGTGTGTGGGTGTGAGTGGGTGTGTTAGTGCATCATGGCACAGGTGTAGAGGTCAGAGGACAACTTGCAGAAGTTGGTCCTCTCCTTCCACAACTGTGGGGCCCAGGGGCCAAACTCGGGCTGTCAAACTTGGTGGTAAACGTCTTTATCTGCTGAGTCACCTTTTTGGCCTCTCCAAAATAATTTTGGCTATTCTGTGCCTTTTGAATTGCCATATGAATTTTAGGATCAGTTTAATTTCTGTAAAAAGGGGCAAATGTAATTTTCACAGGCATTGTCTTGGATACACAGGTGGAACCCGGTGGTATAACCATCATGACATTACCAGGTCTTTCGGTGCATGGACACCAAAGTCTTCTGATTTGTTTAGGACTTATTAATGCCTTTAAACATTTTGTGATTTTCACCGATTAAGTCTTACAATTTATTTGCTAAGTTTCTCGGTAAGGTTTTAATCTTTCCAATGCTATTTTGTTTGTTTGTTTATTTATTTTTTATTTTCCCAACGCTATTGTTACTGGAATTTTCTCTCTAGTTTTATTTCAGTTTGATTTTTTGAGACAGGGTTTCTCTGTGTAACAGAGCCCTGGCTGTCCTTTGTAGACCTGGCTGGCATTGAGCTCACAGAGATCCCCCTGCCTCTGCCTCCTGAGGGCTAGGATTAAAGTTGTGCACCACCATGCCAGGTTCCCTGGTTTTATTTCATTCATTCATTCATTCATTCATTCATTCATTCATTCATTTTAAAGACAATGTCTCGTGTAGTCCAGGATGTCTTCAGATTGATTTTGTAGCTAACAACGACCTTGAACACCTGATTCTCCTGTCTTTATGTCCTAAGCATTAAGACTATAGATGTGACACTACATCCAGCTAATTTTGTTTTCAAGTTATCCGTTGCTTGTGTTGCTTATTTATTTATTTAGAGGGGGTCTCCTGCAGTTTCAGCGAACCTCGATCTGACTGTGTAATGGAAGGCAACCTTGGATTCTGTGCCTCTCCCTCCCAAGTGCTGACATGACAGGTGAGTGCAGGTGCCGGGCTGCATGCTGCCTTTTGAAGAAGGCAGATGTTTCCTCTGCAGTGCGGGCCGATAACGAGGGGTGTAGGTGTGTTGCCATGACAGCCCGCGTGCTGTTGCTGGGGTTCTGACATGTAACTTATCTGAAGTCATAGATGAAGAGTTAGATTCCGTGGCACACAGGGGACGGGGCTGACTAATTGTTCCCACACCTACCATCACGACTGCTGGCTCCCTGGCCTGGGAAAGTTTGAGCAGAAATGTGAGTTTGTGTCGAGAGAGTCCTCATTTCCTCTAGATGCCTCCTCCCCTGACCCTCCACTCCTGTAGGATATTGGTTAGCACCTTCTGAAGGGACAGGTAATCCCGGAGAGGGCAAGGGTTGTGGTTTTTCTTTTCTTTCTGATTTTTTGTTTTGTTTTGTTTTGTTTTTTTGGATAGGGCCTTATGTAGCCTAGGCTGACCTCAAACTCAGTATGTAGAGCTTTAGATGGTCCAAGTGCTGACATTCAGGTCTGTGCCACCATACGCAACTACTGTCATATTTTGTGCTTAGCAGCCTTTTGTATGGAGGTATGTTTATTCATGTACTTTGCTCATGTCAAAACTGACACCTAACTCTTTTACGTAAAAGTTAGGCTGGAATTGGCATTTTCGTGAACATATTGCCTAGAGAGAAATGTTGAGAATGATAGACAGGCACGGTGAGGCCAGAGGAGGCTGAAGAGGGAGTCCTAGGGGAGGCCCAAGGATCGGTGAGATGGCAGAGATCTGAAGGAGTACGGGATCCTTTCAGGTAAATGTGTTTGTTCTTACCTGAGACCATCCCACGCCTCTATCACTTGTTAGTGGGGCTTGTTGCTCAAGGTCTGTGGATGAGTCTTCTTCGCTGTGGCAGGGAGGGCGTAGGTTGGAGTGGATGGGTGAATGGGTGAATGGGTGGATGGGTGCCGATGCTCACCTCACAGGGAGAATGTGAGCAAGTGTCAGATGATGAGCTGTACAGGGTCAGTGCTGGGAAATGTGTAAATGTGCAATGTGCACTGCAGGAGTCAGTCATGAGCACCTACCTTCTCCGCCAGGGCTGAGAACCGAGAGAACTCAGGGTTCCTGAGGAAGAGCAGGGCTCAGAATGGAAGGGAAATAGTAAAGAACCCCAGGAGAACAAGGTAGAGAGTAGGCAGATGGGACAAAATATCAACTTTCCTAGAGTTTGGAGTAGTAAAGTGGAAACTTCAGGATCGGCAGTGTGGAGACCCCAGGATCGGCAGTGTGGAGACCCCAAGATCAGCAGTGTGGAGACCCCAGGATCAGCAGTGTGGAGACCCCAGGACCGGCAGTGTGGAGACCCCAAGATCGGCAGTGTGGGGACCCCAGGATCGGCAGTGTGGAGACCCCAGGATCGGCAGTGTGGAGACCCCAGGATCGGCAGTGTGGAGACCCCAGGATCGGCAGTGTGGAGACCCCAGGATTGGCAGTGTGGAGACCCCAGGGATTGGCAGTGTGGAGACCCCAGGATCGGCAGTGTGGAGACCCCAGGAGACCTCAGAATAGGCAGTTTAGAGACTACTGGGACCGAGAAGTCACTAACACATATTCATGCTAAACAGGGCCTAGAATAAGAGGTAAGATGGTGTGAGTGTGTTTATTTCTTTTTTTTTTTTTTTTTTTTTGGTTTTTCGAGACAGGGTTTCTCTGTGTAGCTTTGCGCCTTTCCTGGAACTCACTTGGTAGTCCAGGCTGGCCTCGTATTTCTTTTTTTTTTTTTTTATATATAATTTATTTCATTTTATTTTTTTGTGCATTGGTGTGAGGATGTCAGATCCCCCAGAACTGGTGTTACACAGAGTTGTGAACTGTAGCTAGAGTTTCCTGCCTGGCCCACAGTCAGGACAAATCTCTCTCACCCACCAGTCCCACAGCCGCTCAGACCCGACCAAGTAAACACACTTCCCAGCTTTATTCTCCTCCTTGTCCCGCCTATACTTCCTGCCTGGCCACTGGCCAATCAGTGATTTATTTATTGACCAATCAGCAACACACTTGACATACAGACCATCCCACAGCAGTGAATGGCATGTGGGTGCTGGGAATTGAACCCAGGTCCTCTGAAAGAGCGGCCAAATGCTCTTAACTGCTGAGCCATCTCTCCAGCTCCTGATTATTTTATTGTATTTTTTTTTTTTTTGAGACAGGATTTCTCTGTGTAGCTTTGGAGCCTATCCTGGATCTCACTCTGTAGACTAGGCTGGCCTTGAACTCACAGAGATCTGCCTGTCTCTGCCTCCTGAGTGCTGGGATTAAAGGCATTCGCCACCACCACCCAGCCCATTTATCCTTTTTAAAATTAAAATTTTATTAACTCAACTTGAACAGTCTAAACTCCATTGTAAATATAGTTTTGTACCCAGAGTCCCCCAAAGACCACCAAGAGACCAAATCCAATGCAAAAGCAAGGAGTCTTTGTATTGTTACGAGTTCACTCAGGACTCTCCATCCGTGTGATGCAGCAGCAGAGCAGGACAGACCCCGAGTAGCAATGGGGCAGGGTTTTTAAAGCAAGGGGGACTTGGGGTTTACATAGGAACAGAGTTAGGATTGGTTTATGTAAGTGGCAATCATGTTAGTAATTTTTAATTGGCTAGGGTTAGTTAGGGTTACAGTTACCATTTTGGGGCAGGCCTGGACAAGTCCCAGGCTTTGTCCTTGAGCTGTCAAGGAGGCTGGCTGGCCTAGCATGTACTGATTGTGGGGGCTGACTCAGTGGCCCAGGCTCTGTCCTTGAGCTGCCATGAAGGCTGGCTGCCCTCACACATTCACATTGACCCATGCATGTAGCTCTAAGTTGGTGAGGGGTCCCAGACAGTAAACAACTGGCTGGACCTTCATCGGTCAGAGTATGTGCAGAAAGGGAGTTACTCAAGGACTATGTCTTTTATTCATGGCCCTCCCAGAAACTGCTCAATCAAGTCTCAGGAAACTGAAATCGAGGCCTGATCTCTGAGAGAAGACTGACAGCCTGTTATGGCATCTGCTTGGTCCTTGCAATAATCCACTGGATTCTCTTAAATATTTTAAATTGTTTATCAAATTTAACATCAAATATATTTAATTTTCATTTTAAGCATTTAGATACATGACAGGGCAGATATCTTTTTTTTTTTTTTTGTTTTTCGAGACAGGGTTTCTCTGTGTAATTTTGGTGCTTGTCCTGGATCTCGCTCTGTAGACCAGGATGGTCTTGAACTCACAGAGATCCACCTGGATCTGCCTCCCGAGTGCTAGGATTAAAGGCGTGTGCCACCACCTCCTGGCCAGATATCTTTTTAGACAGGTTAGCCTCAATTTACTGTGTAGCCTAGGATATCCTTGAACTCTTGATCTTCCTGTCTCAGCCTCCTCAATGCTGGGATTATAAGTGTATATTACCACTAGTCCAGACATCTAACTCTAAAGAGAAAAAACTCCCTAACTACTTAAATGCTTCTTGTGAGTTGAACAAATGTTTACATTTAGCAATCATAATTCCTTGATATATTATATTTACAGTCAGCATGTAAACATATCCAACTTAGAATCACAGTCCTAGTCAGGGGTTCTATTGCTGCGATGAAACACAGTGACCAAAAGCTAGTTGGGGAGGAAAGGGTTTATTCGGCTTTCACTTCCACATTGTAATCCATCATTTGAAGGAAACCAGAACAGGATCTCAAACAGGCAGGAACCTGGAGGCAGGAGCTGATGCAGAGACCATGGAGGGTGCTGCTTACTGGCTTGCTCCTCATGGCTTGCTCAGCCTGCTTTCTCTTTCTTTCTTTCTTTCTTTCTTTCTTTCTTTCTTTCTTTCTTTCTTCTTTCTTTCTTTCTCTCTCTCTCTCTCTCTCTCTCTCTCTCTCTCTCTCTCTCTCTCTCTTTCTTTTTTTTTTATTTTTTTTTATTTTTTTATTTTTTTGGTTTTTCGAGACAGGGTTTCTCTGTGTAGCTTTGCGCCTTTCCTGGATCTCGCTCTGTAGACCAGGCTGGCCTCGAACTCACAGAGATCCGCCTGCCTCTGCCTCCCGAGTGCTGGGATTAAAGGCGTGCGCCACCACCGCCCGGCCTCTTTCTTTATTTTTAATTACACTCACAATATTCATTAATTACACTCATGATATTAATTATATTTGTGGTATTCATTGATTACATTTGAGGTATTCTTTCAATAATTATAATTATGATATTCATTAATTACATTAATTGTGTTAATTTATTACATTCATATTATGTCCTGATACTACTGTCCATTTGTGGGATTTTTCCATCACACAAAACAGAGATTCTGTACTTAGGAAATCATTGCTCTATATTCCTTTCTTCTCCATCTTGTGATAACGTCTAATCTGTCTCTATGAATTTGTATATTCTATATATTTCATGTAATACAGTTTTATAGTATTTGTCCTTTTTTTGAATGTAAAAACATTTTATGTACAACTGCAGGAGAAATAATATATAGATAGCTTGAACATAATTCAAGTTATAATTCAAAAGTCCAGGGGTTATTTTAAACAGTACAATATTTTCTCTGTAGAAAATAGTAAAAATGATAACATTTTCCAATAAGCCCATTTAAGCCAAATAATAGCTGAATTATACATATAAATATAGATTAGATTCTGGGATATAGAAGAAACCTATCTTCATCTGTTCAGAGAACTGTTTTACTTAAGTTGTGTAAGTGAGATTCCTATTCATCCTCCCCTTCACTGTTGGATTTACGGCAGACATTTTTCTATAGGCTAATCCATAATCTAAAAAGATTTTAGCCTCCCCTCCTGAAAGTACAGCCAGCATTTTTTTCATCAGCTTGATACAGTACAAATTCTTACCCTAATAGTGAAATATTTCACTAAAGCTTGCCCAGTGTTTGAGCAAAACCAAAACTTATTATAAGCCACAGTCATCCTAGGGTCCCCTCTGCTAGGTAGTCTCCCTGGATCTGTGGGTTGCAGTCTGATTGTCCTTTGCTTTATATCTAGTATCCACTTATGAGTGAGTACATACCATGTTTGTCCTTCTGAGTCTAAGTTACCTCTCTCAGGATGATATTTTCTAGTTCTATCCATTTGCCTGCAAATTTCCTGCTGTCATTGTTTTTCTCTGCTGAGTAGTACTCCATTGTGTAGATGTACCACATTTTCTTAATTCATTCTTCAGTTGATGGGCATCTAGGTTGTTTCCAGGTTCTGGCTATTATGAATAATGCTGCTATGAACATAGTGGAGCATGTATCTTTGTGGTATGATTGAGTATTCCTTGGGTATATGCCCAAGAGTTGGTATGACTGGGTCTTGCGGTAGATTGATTCCCAATTTTCTGAGAAACCGCCATACTGATTTCCACAGTGGTTGTACAATCAACCTGCTTTCTTATAGAACCCAGGTCACCAGGCCAGCAGGGATGGCACCACCCACAAGGGGCTGGGCTCTCCTCCATCAGTCACTAATTAGGAAAAAGATCCCTACAGATGGATCTTATGGAGGCAGTCAAGGTGACATAAAATTAGACAGCACAATCACTAATATTGAAATGATTACATCTTTAAAATTATACACTTTTAAAGCACAATGAGGTAAATGTATAGCTCTTCAGGTCGAATCCTTTATAAAACCTTTGCAGAAACTTTAACAAACGTACTGGTCATCCCTGTGAGTGATAGTTGGTGTCTAGCCTGAGTTTCATTGTCTCACTTCTGACTCACTTTAGTGCTTAGATCTTATGGAATCGTGAGAGGGGCCAAGGAAGGCTGGGACCTCTGCCTGCGCGTGTGGTGAGCCTGAAGACCACTGTAGGTCAGGGGAGGAGAGACGCTGAGTGTGAAGTGGAGAAAACCAAGAACAGCTGTGACCTGTGCCTCACCACCTCCAACTCTGGTAAGGCGAATTGTCTATGGAAGGACCCAGCCCCCTCGGCCGGGGAACTGAGCGCACAGGTGGTCCAGGAGCTAGAGAGGATGGAGATCCAACTGGGCCCGGGAGAGATACAAGTCTGGCTGCTGCCTGTGCTTCATGCAGCCAAGGTCAGCCCGTAGTCAGTGACAATGTGAGCACAGCAACGCCTGTGCCACTGACTCACCGAGCACTGTGGTCGCCAATTCCATCCCGCATCCCACTTCTCAGTGCTTCTAACATTTCTCTTGTGGCCAGCCATAGCCCAGAACTGTAAGAGGAGGAATCTCCAGAAAATACGGTCTTATCTTCACTGGGACAGTACAGAGCTAACAAGTGGGCTCCAAATGTTCCCAGTGTTAAAGGACCCGTGCCCATTAAGAGAGCACTCCCTGGATGACTGTAATCTGCAGTTCCCACCTCAGGAAGCTTGAGTGCTCTCCTTGTCAGAGATGCCAGGCCTCCATCCCAGACTTGGGCCCATGTACATCTATGTGAGCGTCTTAATTAGGGTTTCTGTTGCTGTGATAAAACACCACAGCCAAAATCAACTTGTTTATCATTGAGGGAAGTCAAAGCAGGCACTCAAAGCAGGAACCTGGAGGCAGGACCTGAAGCAGAGACCATGCTTACTGACCAGCATTTCATGGCGTCCTCATCTTGATTTCTTATACAATCTAGGACCATGCGCCCTAGGATGGCATGGCTCCCAGAGAGTTGGGCCCTCCCACATCAGTCATTAATCAAGATAATACCCCTACAGGCCAATCTTATGGAGGCAGTTTTTTCCCTCAAATAAGATTCCCTCTTCCCATATATACCTGGGCTTGTATCAATGTAACAAGAACCAACCAAACAGTGAGTCTTACAAATTTAGTACCCAGAGTCCCTTAAGGCTTTAACTGCACTCAGCATTGGACAGTTCTGATACTAAGTCTACACTCTGGATGAGCTTAGATCTGCCGATGCCTCCTGGGTACCTGCAAAGCTCTGAAAGACCATTCTCAATGCTGAAATTATGCTAATGACCCCAGCACTGGACAGAACCTGCAGGGTTTCCAGAACATTCCAGGGTACAGAGACCAAATAAGCTGCATTTACCCAGGGTCAGGAGCTTCCACACCGAGGTCGAGATGCTCCTATGAAGCAGGAAGGTCTGTGGTGACAAATTCTGTTCAAGAGGAGCAGGTGAGCTGAGGCCTTAAAGAAATGGTCACAGGGGCCTTGAGGGCCGGTTGCATAACCTGGAGCTTAAAGTTCTGCCTGGCTCTCTGAGGAGCCTTGGTTTACCCATCACTTCATTTACACAGTTTGAACGGAAGCAGGAAGGACCATGTCCCTATTGTCTGGGCTTTGGGTGCCCTCTTGTGGCGCAATATTGATTTTGGGTTTCTGCAGCATCTCGTGCCCTCTCAAGTGCCTTCAAGGTCACTGCTATTAAAACAAAAGGGTGCCGGGCGGTGGTGGCACACGCCTTTAATCCCAGCACTCGGGAGGCAGAGCCAGGCGGATCTCTGTGAGTTCGAGGCCAGTCTGGGCTACCAAGTGAGTTCCAGGAGAGGCGCAAAGCTACACAGAGAAACCCTGTCTCGAAAAACCAAAAAAAAAAAAAAAAAAAAAAAGGGCAAGGGGATGAGGGCATAACTCAATGGAAGAGAGTGTTTGGCCTGAGTGCGCTGGCAGTCGGGAAAAATCTATCCCACTAGCGTCCCCCAAGTAAACACACAGAGACTTATATTACTTATAAACTGTACGGCGTGGCAGGCTTCTTGCTATCTGTTCTTATATATTAAATTAACCCATTTCTATAAATCTATACCTTGCCACATGGCTCACCGGTATCTTACATCATGCTTCTCCTCGTGGCGGTTGGCAGAGTCTCCCTCTGCCTCAGCCTTCCACCTCCCCGAATTCTCCTCTCTCCTATCCCGCCTACACTATACTTCCTGCCTGGCTACTGGCCAATCAGCATTTTATTTATCAATCAATCAAAGCAACACATTCACAGCATCCCCAGCACAGCTTAAGACAGGTGTTGGGGTTTTTGTTTAGGAAATGACATATGGAGTACTGCAAGTAGGATTTGGGGAAGCTAGTGGTCTTTGGGGGCCTAGAACCCATACGGTTTTACATCTCTCTGTTCTAGGCCTCTGCTCCTATCAGTTTCTCAGGGTCTGATGCCCTCTGATAGACGTGCTGCCCTCTGAGGAGGTGGACAAGACGTGTTTCAGTTCCCTAGAGAGGGAGGAAGGACACAGGGGTGAATTTCATCTCATGAGATAAGTGGCATTAACCGCAGAGATGTGCAAAGAGGACCCGTATTAGGAAAGAGATGTTCTTTTTATGAAAATGTCAGAGAAAAACAGAGGCAGGTGCTATGTAATCTTAAGCCAGAGACTGCCTCCATGTTGCCTGGTTTGTTGACTGAGACAAAAGGCAGGCCACTCTGAAAGGACCTCCCAAGGCAATGCCTCTTGAACTCCATTTTGGCTAGATCTCAGGTGGTTTGAAATGTCTGTGAGTTTAAAGAGGCAAAGTGAAGTATCTAATGCTCTCTCACTGGCCAGGCTGACTTACGTCTAGAAGACAACAAGGCACAGTTGATCTGTGTCCCTTCAACACACTTTTAAGGGGAATTTCTTTTGGTCAGGTATTATACAAGAACTCAACAAATGCTCACTTAGTAAATGTTGGAATAGAGATTGTTAGAGTTGGAAGCCCTTACTGTTTCCTCTGTTTTCAGGAAAGCAATGAGAGGACCAGAGAGCTAAACTGCATTCATTCATTCATTCATTCATTCATCTATTCAAGTTTAGTTATTACTTTCTGTGTGTGAGGAATTGGGCTTTGTATGTGAAATCAGAGGAGAAAGAGGAGGAGGACCATTGTGAATAAGGTAGAGAAAAAAATAACCAGAATGCAGTACAGACAACAGTTTGAACACAGGCTCTTCAGAAAGCAGAGGTACGTTAGCAGGAAACAAAAGAACCTCTCCTTCCTCCCCCCTCCCAAAAAAAACAGCGCACGCGCGCGCGCGCGCGCGCGCGCGCGCACACACACACACACACACACACACGTACGTCTCTATGTAGTTCAGACTGGCCTTGAACTTAGATTATCTAACTCAAACTTAAGTTTTAAAAAATAAAAACCTCATAATTTTCATTACATAAGGTAAAAAAAGAAATGGAGGAGAGAGAGGAAAAGGGTGGGGGCACACAACCTGGGGGTCAGGGGATTCCTCATTTTGGGGGACAAGGCTTGGGGAGCCCCATTGTCTCAGCTCCACAGGCATGGCTCCATGGGGCAAAGTGGTGCTATGGGCTAGGGAAAGGAAAGGAGTGGACAGAATGGGTACCACCACTCAGCACACCTGGCCCTCCAGGAGCTCCCCTGCTGAGTGGGGAGAGGGGATGTTCATTCATCCTGGGTAATACACTCAATGAGAAAGTGCATCTGTTTGCCCTGCAGGTAGAATATTTGAGTGGAGTATGAGCAGAGAGGTACGCAGAGCTGGGCCTTCACTGAGAGCTGCAAAACCAGAGGTGGAAAACAGCATTCTATGTGTTGTGTACACACGTGCAATTCTGAGCAGCCTGGAGTGAGGACTGGGCACTAGATTTTGCATGATGTGAGGAAGGATGAAGCACAGAGCTTGTGTCTATTAGAAGTGTCAGGTTTAGAACGGGCAGGGCGGTTCACACCTGCAATCCCAGCACGTGGAAGCAGAACCTAGTTTAAGGCCTGGCTCGGCGGATCACCCAGCTCCTGCCATACTGTCTTCTTTCTCTTCCTGGACCCAAACTCCAAGTTTCAGATCTGGGCTATTTTGTGCCTGAAACCAGTCTTACATAGGTCTGGCTTGGAGAACTGGGTGCTGAATACCCTGTCTGCCCCTCACTAAAAGGCTTTCTCTCATGACACAGGCAGTGAGCTTTTTTTTTTTTTTTTTTTTTTTTTGGTTTTTTGAGACAGGGTTTCTCTGTGTAGCTTTACGCCTTTTCCTGGATCTCACTCTGTAGACCAGGCTGGCCTCGAACTCACGGAGATCCACCTGCCTCTGCCTCCCGAGTGCTGGGATTAAAGGCGTGTGCCACCACCGCCCGGCCGGCAGTGAGCTTTTTACCATTACAACTAGGAAGCAGAATCAGTACCTTTGGCTCTTATGGCAGCCTGTGCTCACACCAGGTGTTTGAGGGCTTCCTCATCAGGGCATAGTGCTGCCATTCTGTTTGGGTGCTCACCTATTTAAAGCAATTCTCAAAGTACTGAGAAGTAGAGGTACTTAGAAGCCAGGCCGCACAAGCCCTGGCCTCTGAAGCTAGGCAGCCAAGAGCACACCTTGACTTGTCTTTCTTGGGAAGTCTGCAGAGGCACAAACCTGTGCTGCTAAAGAGGGAAGGCAGATTTCCTACAGTCCTTTGAATAGGCACCACCTGCTTGAGAAAGGAGAAACTGAGGCCTGGAGACGGAAAAGAAGTTTGTTCGGCATCATCAGGCAAATGTAAAAGAACAGCCAAACCTGGAGACACTGGGTCTTCTGCTGGACTCAAGATACCTGGACCCTCTCACAGAAGTTTCATTTTGACCCAAAGAAGGCACCAGTCATTCTGGAAGATTCACGCCATCGTATACATGGCTCATTTGTGCATCTAAGCATACCTACTGGTTGAGAAGGATGGAGCAACTGCATGTGGGTCTATGTGGTGTGGTACCACAATCTTCTACACTGAGATATGGTCCTGGGCAGCCCTGGACTGACAAAGGGCCATTACCAAGAAAACTCATGGTTCTCGAATAAAAGAACCTACCAAGACCAGTGCTCAACACTCAATTCCATCCATACCAGGAACCAGGGCTCGGTAGAGGGTGATCTGAGTACAACATGGGCCATGTGAGGGTAAGTCAACAGCAATCAACACCAGGGGAGGTAAGCTAATGATTCAGTGGGAATGAAGCATCTCACAGCCCGGGAACACACACCTGAGGCCCAGGGGGACCCCCTCCTAAGAAGCATCCAAGACACGGTCCATTTCTGTGCTACTCAAGCAGTACTTTAAAACACCTTATCCCATTGTCCTTAGAACTTAAGACTTAACAGACAGACCTGTTTATCATTGTGTGCGTTTTTCCCCAGAGAATTTTACTTGGGAAAGGCAGGTATCTAGAAAGGAATTTTGTTAGGAAGTACAGCACACAGGGAAGGAAATGTCTCAATATAGAAATTTTAATAAGTAAATATATCCTTTAGTTTCAATGGTGGGGAAGATGTACATGGATGGCTGCCAGCCAGACCCACACACTCAGTATTCTTCCCCTTCTTCTGCCTCTGCTTCCACGGAATCGACGCCCACCTCTTCATAATCCTTCTCCAGCGCTGCCAGGTCCTCCCGGGCCTCTGAGAACTCCCCTTCCTCCATGCCTTCTCCCACGTACCAGTGCACAAAGGCTCGCTTGGCATACATGAGGTCAAACTTGTGGTCCAGGCGGGCCCAAGCCTCTGCGATGGCAGTGGTGTTGCTCAGCATGCACACGGCCCTCTGCACCTTGGCCAGGTCTCCTCCAGGGACCACAGTAGGGGGCTGGTAGTTAATACCCACCTGCCAGAAGAGGAGAAAATACAGTGAAGTTTATAATAACCTCGGAAATATGAGAGTTCACTAGAAATCGGGAACTGTGGACCTAGCTTAAACTGCAAATACTCATACTACACTTTGGGGAATGAATAATCACCTTCACAAAGCAATACGTATACAGATTTTAAGTACTTACTTGAACCACTAATGGCCAAACTGGAAACAACACACAATACAACAAAGAATGAGAACCCTACGCATGGTATAGTATGCTTAGTTAAAAGGAAACCAACTGAAATATTTGTATTTGTGTATACAAAACCCCTATGTAGCAGTGAACTCTAGCAAGGAGAACTCTTTGGGACTGAAGGATGATAAACCTTAGGAATGTGCAGGGGTAGAAACCTTCTTACACCCTGATGAACAGATGGCTGTTAGCAGCAGCTAGGAACACAGTCAGAATGGAGGATCAAGAAGTACACTCCCAATTTAAAAAGGATATCCTCTGCTCCTCAGCTGGCCTGTCAACCAACAACACTCATAAGAGGCATAACATGGGGCTGGAAGGGTGTCTCAGTGGTTAAGAGCACTGGCTGTTCTTCCAGAGGTCCTGAGTTCAATTCCCAGCAACCACAGGGTGGCTCACAACCATCTGTAATGAGATCTGGTGCCCTCTTCTGGCCTGCAGGGATACATGCAGACAGGACACTACATAATCTTAAAAAAAAAAAAAAAAAAAAAAAAAAGGTAAGAGGCATACTATATCTTGAACATGCCTCCTGTTTTATAGGGACAAAAAGCCTTGGGGCAGAAAATTCAGCTTTCAGTCTTCCAGTTAACATTTTAGTATTATTTAGATATTAATATTATTAAAAATGTAAGTTAATAATATTTCAGCCTTCCTTTTAAATATTTTGTTATGTTTTTTTTTATAATTTAAAGGCTCTAAAAATTATTTGAAAATCCCAAGCTGGCTGCAGACTATGTGGCCAGGGATGATCTTGAACTCACTCTAATGCTGGGATTAGAGGCATGTGCCAACCATGAATGTCCAGCTAAAACTCTATTTTAAACATGGAAACTAGTGTAGCCCAGCAATGGTTGTAGAAGACTGTGTGATAAGCCACACCGATGCCGACAAAGGGACGAAGAAGGGACTAAGAGGTGCATCTGGTGCTGCAGACCCTCTGTAGGGACAGCCAACTCCTAACTGATACTTCCCCACAGGCAGCTCTTCACTGCAGAACCCCAGGGTCGGCTGGGAGGAGCCTGGGCAAGGCACAGCATTCCCAGCACCTGTCAACAGACACACCCTCCCTTGAAGTCCTTGTCTTCTTAGTGTCTCACTGATTGAGAAAAATTCATCTGCTCAGGGTTTGGTAATTGATGGTTTAAGAAACAAGGATTGGGGCCAGGTGGCGGTGGCGCACGCCTTTAATCCCAGCACTTGGAGGCAGAGGCAGGCAGATCTCTCTGAGGTCGAGGCCAGCCTGGTCCACAGAGTGAGTTCCATAACAGCCACCGTTACACAGAGAAACGTTGTTTCAGAAAAACCAACCAACCAACTCAAACCAAAACCAAACAAACAAACAAGAAATAAGATTTGGTAATTGGTGGTTGTAAGAAAAAGAGTTCCCAGTATCTTTTGGAAAGGTGTTAAGTCACTTAGCAACTTTACTTACTATACATGCTTTTTTTTGGAGCCTAACATGGAAAGGGGAATTCTCGCCCAAAGCTATGGCCCTGAGGCAGGAGCTGTTGCTTGCTGGCAGATAAAATTGTCACAGCACCCAATCCTACCTTAAATCCAGTTGGGCACCAATCCACAAATTGGATGGTGCGCTTTGTCTTGATGGTAGCAATAGCCGCATTGACATCTTTTGGGACCACATCCCCCCTGTACAACATGCAGCAGGCCATGTATTTGCCATGGCGAGGGTCACACTTGACCATCTGATTGGCTGGCTCGAAGCAAGCGTTGGTGATCTCTGCCACTGACAGCTGCTCATGGTATGCCTTCTCAGCTGAGATGACTGGGGCATAGGTTGCCAGTGGGAAGTGGATGCGAGGGTATGGCACCAGGTTGGTCTGGAATTCTGTTAAGTCCACATTCAGGGCCCCATCAAACCTCAAGGAGGCTGTGATGGATGACACGATCTGCCCGATCAGTCGATTGAGGTTGGTATATGTGGGACGTTCAATATCCAGGTTGCGCCGACAGATATCATAGATGGCTTCATTATCCACCATGAAAGCACAATCAGAATGTTCCAGCGTTGTGTGTGTGGTCAAGATGGAGTTGTAGGGCTCCACAACGGCTGTGGAAACCTGGGGGGCTGGGTAAATGGCAAATTCCAGCTTGGACTTCTTGCCATAGTCCACTGAAAGCCGTTCCATAAGTAGAGATGCAAACCCAGACCCTGTGCCACCTCCAAAGCTGTGGAAGATGAGGAAGCCCTGCAGTCCTGTGCACAGATCTGCCTGTTGAAAAATCAGAGGATGTAAGCCAATGCCTACAAAGCCACGCCCCCAACCTCCAAGCCCCACATTCAAGACTTCCATTTCCGCAAACTGATGCAAATTCAGACTGTCTACAACATGCACACTGCACTTTGACATATGGCCTATGAATGCATCTCAGCCGAGGTTTAGTAAGGTATTTTGGTAAACTCATGATAGATTCCTGATTCTAACAGATTTGTCAAAAATGACTGGGCTTGATAGTTTTATGTCAATTTGACACAAGGTAGAGTCGTCTGAGAGGAGGGAGCCTCAATTAAGAAGTGTAAGCCAAATAAACCCTTTCTTCCCCAAGATGCACTGGTCATGGTGTTTTATCACAGCAAGACAATGACACCACCACCACCTATGCCGACTCTCTGGACCAGGACAACCACCACATGAAGCCTCCTCTGCAATCCTCTTACTAGTTTTCGGATCCGGTCCAGGACCAGGTCGACAATCTCCTTGCCAATGGTGTAATGACCTCTGGCATAATTATTGGCCGCATCCTCCTTCCCAGTGATCAGCTGCTCTGGGTGGAAAAGTTGCCTGTAGGTTCCAGTACGCACTTCATCTAGAGAGACCGTATATCCTGTGAGTCTTTCGGGCAAAGGATATTCAATTCCACTGCACACGTGTGTCAACAGCGTCTCCTAGACTTTGATTATATGTAAACCACATACAACCCTTTCAGTGTCTCACCCAACAGTCACAAGCACACATTTGTGTAGCTTATCTACTCTGCAGAGATTTCAGTGGCTTTTCCTGACACACTCCCACTCTCCCAGGAGAGCCTCCACCCAGAGCCCAGGCACCTACCGACCACAGTGGGCTCCAGGTCCACAAACACTGCTCTGGGCACATGCTTGCCAGCTCCGGTTTCACTGAAGAATGTGTTGAATGAATCATCCCCGCCACCAATGGTTTTGTCGCTTGGCATCTGCCCGTCAGGCTGAATACCATGTTCAAGGCAGTACAGTTCCCAGCAGGCATTGCCAATCTGGACACCTGCCTGCCCCACGTGGATAGAGATACACTCTCGCTGGAATCCAGAACAGACATGACATTCATTCAACGGAAATGGACATACCAGCATAATTTTATGTAGTGCCACAGTGTCTATTTCCAAACTTTATTCACAATGAAGCTCAGGCACTCTTTTTATCTCTATTAAAACTGACTGCTGGGGCTGGAGAAATGGCTCAGTGGTTAAGAGCACTGTGGATTGCTCTTCCAGAGGACTGGGGTTCAATTTCCAGCACCTACATGGCAGCTCACAACTATCTGTAACTCTAAGATCTGACACCCTCACATACATGTAGGCACAACACCAATGCAAATAAAATAAATGAATTACAAAACTAAACAAAAAACCACACACACACACACACACACACACACACACACACACACACACACACCCAAGAAAACTGAGTGCCACCAGGTATGCTTGCACAGGCCCATAATCCCAGTACCCAGAAGGAAAGATTAAGTAGAGTTCAAGTCCAACCCTATCCCGAGACAAACACACACATTTACACACAGGTCACACAGCGTGGTCTGCTCTAAACTTGTCCTATTTTGATATGTAGTTTCATTGACCCCGGCTGGCTTCAAACAAACTAGTGGCAATCCTCTTGCCTCAGCTTCTCAAGTGCTAGGATAACAGATGAAAACAATCACACCAGGCCAACCATACTATTAAGTAGCAGCCCCAGGGCATAAATGTTTCTCACTCTTCAAAAATATGCTTAAGACTTGGAAAACCATGCAATGTCAACAATTTAGCTCATTAGGGAGAGTCACAGTAACTCCCTAAAAATCTATCAGGTTTTAACTGTGGCCCAACTAAAGGATAAGATAAAGTCCAGTAAGGAAAAACAACAGGTCCCAGATCACCCGGCCTGGACAGTCACTGTCTTCTATCTGCCCATCTAGATCAACCCTTTTTAATCACTCTCCATGCCATTCCGAGTACCAGGAAGTTGACTCATGATCACTACATCTGAGCATTGCCATCCCTATGGCCTCATAACTCCTGAGTTAATGTTCTTCACAGAGATACCATCCTTAGAGCAATCACTCTTCCTGTCAGGTCTAGGGACGTAACACTTCCAGACGTCGTTAAGTATTGAGATACTGCACTATCCTGTAGTTGTTAGTTTTTATACTCTTTTAGTCTTTGCTCTTTTTGGGGGGGCACCACCTAGCTCCCAAATAAACCACAGAGGCTTATTCTTAATTATAAATGCCCTGCCTTTAGCTTGGCTGGTTTCTTGCCAGCTTCTCTTAATTTATCCCACCTACCTTTTGCCTCTGGGCTTTTTCCTTTTCTTACTTCTGTAAATCTTACTTTCACTCTTACTCTGTGGCTGGCTGGCCCCTAGTCTTCCTTCCTCTCTTGTTCCTGCTTTTCCTCCAAGATTTCTCCTTACATTTCTCCTCTCTCCTGCCAGCCCCACCTATCCTCTCTCCTGCCTAGCTATTAGTCTAGTAAAGAGCTGAATGCCCATCAGGTGTTTCAGACAGGCACAGTAACACAGCTTCACAGAGTTAAACAAATGCAACATAAAAGAATGCAACACACCTTTGCATTATTAAATGTTCCATAGCATAAACAAATGTAACACATCCTAATTTTCTACAATATCATCTGATTTTTTCCCCCTTTATTTAAAATTTTTAAGGCCAGGACTGGCTATATAGCCCAGGCTGGCCTGGGAACTGAAATCTTTCTGCCTCAGCATACAGATACTAGGATTATAAATATGTGCCACCATCATCTAACTTACGGGTTTCTTTAGTTCTACATTTATAAATTGTATGTTTGATTCAACCCAAGTAATCAGTTATAAATGGAATAGCATTTATAACTACAGGACCTAACTTCACTTAGCAACTACTTTGTTCAGTTTTAAATAAGTTATCCCCACAAATATCTAGAGATCAAATGAAATTTGCAAGATGTCACATGACATACTCTACATCAGAAGCATCCTATCTATGGCCCATGGGCCAAACGTGAACCAGGATAGCTATAAATGTGGATATAAACTTATTGAGAAAACAGTTTTTTGTAAATCATGGGTTATGGAGCATAATTTCACTGATAACACAGGGCCTTGTGCTTGCTGAACCCCCAAACCCCGGACTCGGCCACTGAGCTAAATCCCCAATCCCCAGAGGGCACTCCCGTTGCAAGAACCAGAGTTTGGTTCCCAGGCTCACAACTGCCTCTGACTCCAGCTTCTGGGTCTTCAATGCCCTCTTGTGGCCTCTCTGGGAAACTGCACTCACGAACACAACCTCTCACAGGCATACACATACAACAATTTCAATCAAAGGGAAAAAAAAAAACCACTTTAAATAGGTTCTTAGTTTTGTTTTTTTCGTAAGTTCTTGTAGCCCAGGCCGGCCTCAAATTTGCTCAGACTAGTCTTGAAATCTAATCTTCCTGTCTCAGCCCACCTAGCACTTGAGATTAGGCATGCCACAGCACACATCTCAGATTTACTTTCTAATGTGAACAAACTATCCTACTTAACCACAGAACATAAAAAACAGCCGTAGCCACAAACCAAGAAGTTCTTTGGGAAGCTGGGTGAAGCTGGTGGCAAACTCTTGGCGATCCCCACACGGAGGAGGCAGAGGGCGGGCCTACCAGTTCAAGGCCATCTCCCGACAGACAACAGCTCAAGTCCACCACAACACGGGCTAGGAGACTGTCTTAAAATTCCAAACAAAGGCCGGGCGGTGGTGGCGCACGCCTTTAATCCCAGCACTCGGGAGGCAGAGCCAGGCGGATCTCTGTGAGTTCGAGGCCAGCCTGGGCTACCAAGTGAGTCCCAGGAAAGGCGCAAAGCTACACAGAGAAACCCTGTCTCGAAAAACCAAAAAAAAAAAAAAAAAAAAAAAAAAAAAAAAAAAACCAAACAAAGGCTCTTTGGGCTCAGTAACTTTCACTTTCCTACGGCGAACATTAGGCCAGAAAGCTTGGCAGCTTCTAGAATATTCCGGAATTAATGCCACAGTTGTTCTCTCAGTCAAGGGCACTGGTATCAGAAAACAAAACAAAATCCCTCTCCCCAAAACCAATCTGCTACCCTCTTTGGTTGTATTTTTTTGAGACTGGAGTCCTAGGAGGCTGGGACTCCGGACGGGAACGACATCCCACCATCCTGGATCTTCACAGCGAGCTGGGACACGGTGCATCTGGCTCGCACTGGCTCGCACTGGCTCGCACTGGCTCGCACTGGCTCGCACTGGCGTTGTGAGGAGCCAGGAGGAACCTGCGGCCTCCCGGGCTGCTATGCCTTCGCTCGCCCTCGTAGGAGCCCGGGCTGTGAGGAAGCCCCCCCGACTCCGAGGGGACGGCGGTCTCCGTGCCGTGGGGCCCCCCACCCTCCGAGGCCCCGGGCCCCCCACCCTCCGAGGCCCCGGGCCCCGCCGCCCCGGCCTGCTCTCACCATCCTGAACTCCGCAGACCAGCTCAGCCGTTCCTCTGCACCGGTCCTCAACCGCCTCTCGCCAGCCTCTTGTCTGCGCGCTCAACGGTCCAGGCCGGATGCGGATGCGGGTGCGTGGGGGCTCATTGGCCCCGAGCGCCTCAGGGGGCGGGACTAGGCCCCACGTCCCACCTATGATTGGATGTGGGCTCAATTTGCAGGGCTAGCCCTTTCTGATTGGACGGGGCTTTGGCGGGAAGGCTCTGGAGTGGCTGGAGCGGACCAGCATCTGGAGGTTGGGGGTGTCTGCGGACACGTCGGGTAGAGCCGTGCCCGCTCAGCATCCCTCGGTCCTCCCGGGCCTCCGCTCCCCTCTCCCCGCACCGCCCTACCTCACCTGGGGCAGAAGAGCTCTCCAGCCACGCCAGGGAGGCCGCCAGATCGCGCTTCTTCAGGGGGACGTGAGTTTCTGGCACCTGTCGAGTCCTGCGCTAGGACCCAGCGCCCTTCTGGAAGTCTGTGCGAACAGTCACCTATTCCGACAGTATTTTCGGAGGGAGAGGGTGTTGAAAGCCTTTGGCTATGCAGCTCGGGGGGCCTCGGAGTCTTTGTAGCCCAGGCTGGCACAAATTGAAGCGCTGTCTCAGCATGCCTCAGAGCTGGCTGTAGATAGGCACAGTGCGCCGTGGGGATCAGACCTCCCATCAATCTGCAGTTTTGGGGAGACACAATTTAGTCGACACACCTTTATTTCCTCAGGATATCTAACTGCACGTAACTGAATTGTAGGCTGTGCCATGCTGTGCCTTTTTTTTTTTTTTTTTTTTTTTTTTTTTTTTTTTTTTTGGCATGGTCTTATGTATCCCACCTTGGTCTTGACTGCCCCTGTAACCAAGAATGGATTTGAACTTCTGATCCTCTGGTCTCTACCCTCTGAGTGCCAGGATTGCAGGCATGCATCTCAAACCCAGCATTAGAGTGACGAGGGGTGGTGTGTGTGTGTCGGGGGGAACGGGGGTCGGGGTGGTGGTGAGAGGCGACATACCCACATCTTTGGGGATGCTTGGCAAGAACTCTCCCAGATCCAGCTACAACCCTAGCCCCCAATGTTGTGGTTTTTGTTTTGTTTTGTTTTTTTCCTTTTTTTTTTTTTTTCCTCCCGAGACAGGGTTTCTCTGTGTAGCTTTGGAGCCTGTCCTGGAACTCACCCTGTAGACCAGGCTGGCTTCAAACTCACAGAGATCCACCTGGCTCTGCCTCCCAGGTGCTGGGTCTAAAGGCAAGCGCCACCACCGCCCAGCCCAATGCTGTTTTTAAGAAACATTGGTGTTTCTGATTATAAAATTAACACATTCGGAGTAGAAAGTGTGGGAAAGGCAGAAATAAATTGGAAAACCAACAACTTTTAAAGCCAGAGTGTCATTTCAGCTGTTGTCTTTCATCCCTGTGTGTATACATTTGTTACTTTTTAAAAATTTGGTGTTCAGAGACAGGGCTTCTCTGTGTAGCCCTGGCTGTCCTGGAATTTGATCTGTAGAGCAGGCTGGCCTTGAACTCACAGAGATCTGCCTGCCTCTGTCTCCTGAGTGCTGGAGTTAAATGCTGGAATTAAAGGTGTGCACTACCACTGCCCAGCTACATTTATGATTTTTTTTGTAACTAGGATCAAATAATAAACATTTTTAACAGTATCTTTTGCTGCAATTTAAATTTTTATTTTTATTTTTTATGTGCATTTGTGTTTTGCCTGCATGTATGTCTGTGTTAGGGTGTCAGGTCCCCTAGAACTGAAGTTATAGACAGTTGTAAGCTGCCATGTGGGTGCTGGGAATTGAATCTGGGTCCTCTGGAAGAGCAGTCAGTGTTCTTAACCACCGAGCCATCTCTCCAGCCCTCTTGCTGCAGTTTTATTGTTGGGTATCTGATTTGGTCTCTATGCATTTGAAAACTGGTTGATTTATATCCATATCACAATGAATAAATATATCCCTTCATGTATGTCAGTTTCAGCATACAGAATGCAACCTCAGCTACCAATTACAGCTGCAAATGAGCAATAGTGTGGAGTGAGAGAGACAGCCTGCTGGCTTTGTTAGAATTCTGTCTCCGGGGTGCCGGGGGAAAGGGAGGCTCTGTTGAAGAGAAGCCCCTGGCTCATGGTTTATTGTGCTTGCCACCAGCTTCAGACTTCTCATCTCAGTAGTTCCTGTAGAACACTATGGGTGAAGACAGCTGTAGTCTGTGTGGATCTTCCTTTCCTGGGTACCCTGAAGGCTGAATCTACTATGCACTTCCTGTAATCTGCTGGCTCAACTTGACTTTGGTCTATGGTGTCTATGTGGGCAATTTCAGCAGTTTCCCATGTTTCAAACATGATTTTAAAAACAACTTTCTTGAGATTGGATTATCTTAGTCTATAATTTACTGTCTTAGTGTGTGTGATTCCATTAACTCAGGAACTTCTGGGCTCAGTCTGTGCTCCTCCTCTGGTCTACTGAGTAGCTGGGACTACAGGTGTGCCACCACGCCACACTTGTTATTTATTTAGTTTGGGTGTGTGTCTGTCATGATGAGGAAGCTATGACTGCAGGATTGATTGATTGATTGATTGATTATATTTTGTGAGTCAGGGTCCCATGTATCCAGGCTGGCCTTGAACTTGTTGTACGACCTGGGGTAGTCTAAAACTTTCGATCCTCTTGCATCAACCTCCCAATTACTAATAATATAAAGCTGTGTAACTATGCTCAGTTTATGTGGTGCTGGCATCAAACCCAGTCTGTCTTGCATGGCAGGCAAGCATTCTCCCATCTGACCTATGTTCTGGGTCAGTAGGCACTCATTTTTCCAGGTGTCCTAGCTAGCTTTAACTGTCAACTTAACACAGCCTTGAGTTACCTGAGAAGGGAATCCCAATTTAGGGATTGCTGGATCAGATGGGTGGGGGATTATCTTGATGGATGACCGATGTAGAAGGGCCCCACCCTGTAGCACAAATCCTAATCGGTCTTAATAATAAAAACCCAGAGCCAGATCTGGGGGTAAATGCTGAAAGATCCATAAAGCAGAGCAACCAGCCTCTAGAGAGACTTCTTAACTCTACCAAATCCTCAGCCTGAAAGGGCCAAGCTCCTGTCTCCACCTGCCTTATCACTTCCTCTCTCTGCCCAGCCATATTTTCTCCTCCCAAATGCTGGGATGAAAGGTGTGTGCCACCACTGCCTGGCCTCTAGTGGCTAGCTCTGCACTCTGATCTCCAGGCAAGCTTTCTTTGTGAGAGCACAAACATTGCCCACTGTGGGCAGCACTGTTTCCTGGACAGGTGGTCCTGGACTGTGTAAGGAAATCTAGCTAAGCAAAGTGTGAGCAAGCCCAGTGAGGAGCTTCCTTTCTTCCCAGTCTCTGCTTCAAGTTCTTGCCCAACTTCCCTCAGCAATGGCCTGTGACCCGGAAGTATAAGCCAAATAAATCATTTCCTCCTATTGTTTTTGGTCATGCTGTTTGTCGCAGCAGTAGAGTGAACACGTGCATCTCTGGTTAATTCTGTAGACAGATGAGTCCATCTACTGGACCAAAGTATATGGGCAGGTTTCTGACTAGTGAATAATGAGAAGTTACCTTCCAAAAATGATGTTACATTTTGCCTTTTAAAAGAAGAGTCTGGAGATTGTCAGATGCAAGTGTTAGTTATTATTATGCAGTGGCTCTGTGTTATTCATTAAGCGGCGCTGTTCACCGTGCAAGAAAACCCTTGAGGCACAACAAAACCCACTATAAGAGTTTATTAAGAGAAGGAACAGAGGGAAGTGTGCTTAGGCCTATGCAGATAGTCATGCAAGGAGAGAGAGGGAGAAGAAGAGGGAGGAGGAGTCTGTGACCCGCTTTTTATGGATTCCCCTGCACATGTGCATATGGGCTTAAGTAGCTACGCCAGGCATGTGCATAGATTATGTGACCACGCAGGGCATGGATCACGTAGGACTTAAGGCCCCGGGATAACTAAACCTCTTGCTTGGCTACTGGACAGCGCATGTGCAGTCATGTAGCTGGGGGAGTGGACAGGAATTCCAACAGCAAGTCAATTTGTGTTTTGTCTACCAAGGTCACCAGAACCTTGAATGTCTCCCCAAGGACCCCTCTAGAGCTTCTGCAAGCCAGTTGTTGCTGGCTCCAGAAGAGCCTGGTCGACGAATCTCCAAGTCAGAAGGATCCTGGTTCTGCAAGGCCTCGTATGGTTGTAAGGACTTGTGGAGGTCCTTGCAAATGTCATGGCTGACAGTGAAATGATCTGCAGAGAGGCAGGAATGAAACTCCGTTCAGCACCACTTTAGTTAGCTAGGCTGGTTCAAACTTCTGAGTGATTTATTTTTTACATATTTAAACACAGCAAAACTTTGGGGGAAGCTTCCTCGTGACAATTATCACAACAAAGCTTAAAGAATCTGATTATACTGAAATT